TTTTAAAGAGTAATTCCCCAGAGTTTTTCCTGTTCTTTGTTCTTCTTCACAGTAAATCTTAGGACCAAACGTCTGATTTTAATTTTTAAGTGCTGTTAGCCAATCCTTTCATTGTTGCTTTCTCCAGTGTTCTTAGAATAAGAACACTGGTTTCCTAGAAAAGTGCAGCAATTGCACACGACTTGGAAGTAAACACTTTATTTTCAAGTCGTAAGATGGTATGAACCTGAAAAAAATTCGTCAAACTCTACTCATTCCTCAGTAAGTTTACATTTCAATTACTGCAAGACCAAAAGTCTTTAAGTAGGCCATATCAGCCACACTACACAGGAAATTATATCCTAGGAAAGCTCTGTTTTAAAAATAGGCAAAGGAAGAAAGGAAAGTTGCCAAAATACACAGCACTTTCCATTTGTTTTGATTTGAACGTTGCATGTTTTATCAGGTGCAATCTACCATTTGCAGGCTTAAGGGGACTGGGAGTAGTTAGGGTGGGAAGAAGTAAATTAACCGACACTGTTTGCTTTTAGAAGAGAGTTTTGAAGTAGCTATCAGCAGAATTAGGTCATACCCAAATACCACAAAGAAATTCGACCTTGGGATAAATGTTCAGACTCGACTGTATAGTCCCTAATGAATCAAAGAAGCAAAGCTGAGAAACTAGATCAATCCAAATTTAACATTTGATATGTATGTAAAAGTCATCACTTTTTTTTTACCCATCCATCCATCCATCCAAAATATACCGAGTAACTACTATATATCATGTACTTTTTTGGGTATGAGCATATAACAACTGACACAACAAAATCCTTCCCTATGATCTTATTCTGGTAGAAGAGATAAGTGTATACTATACTATATACATAAGGAATGTAACATCAAGTAGTATAAAGAGCAATATTATTAAAAAATTAAAATTAAAAATATTACAGAGCAATTCTAAGAAGATTAACTTTACCAAGAAATTACCAAAACAAAGCAAATTTTGATACAATTATTAGACAGGAAAACTTTGTAAGGACAGAGTTCTGATGAAACTGTTAAACTAGAGTTTAAATTGGATGGCTAAAGTTTTTGTTTGTTCCTCTAGTATGGATTGAATCCAGGACCTAGTACATGGCTAGCCAAGCACTCTACCACTGAGCTACATCTCCAGGCCTTTTTTAAGTTCTAGTTTGAGACAGGTTGTTGCTAAGTTGGCCGGAATGGCCTTGGATTCTCCTGACTCAGCCTCCCAAGTGGCTGGGATTATGGGCATGCAAAGCGGTGCCTAGCAAGGTTCACTCAGTCTCTTCTGATGAATGAGAAAAAAAAAAAAAAAAAAAAAAAATTCAAAAATTTTCTCAGAGGGCTGGGGATTTAGCTCAGCGGCACAGTGCCTGCCTGGCAAGCACGAGGTCGTGAGTTCGATTCTTGGTACCAGAAAAAAAAAATTTTGTCAGCCAAATTGGATTGAAAATACTTTAAAGTCCATCAAAACTTTATAGAACTTTCAAAAACTTCTTCCCAGTCTATCTGGAGGCTTATAGGTCTTGACCTAGTACTTGGGAAGCTGCCTCATTTCCTTTGCTGGAAAATATCCACATGGCTGTAGACCCTGAAAGTCTGTGCTTGAATTACTCTCAAGCATGTTCACTGGCTGTTTGTGAGTGCTGTCTCATTAGTTTTGTGAAGCTGGCATCCTCATTTATGTTTCTAAAGGCAGCATGGTAAAATAAAAAAAATAAAACACTACATACAGATCTATGATCTTGCCTTTATGATCCTTACACTTTACGGCCGATTCATTCACTTCTCTTGAGTGTGTAATACCGGAATATTTTCCTTGCCTATTGGATAGGGTTATTGGGATGGGACTAATGCCTCCCTCCCCACAAAATGTCCATGTTTTAATCCCTGGAACATATGATTACTTTAGTTTTCCAGGTAAAGGCAAAAAAAGGTGGCAGATTAAGGCTACTAACCAGACAACCTTAAAATGGGGACATTATCTTCAATGAATCAAATGGGCCCGACGTTATTGCAAAGGTACTTGTAAGAAGAGAAGGCAGGAAGAAGGGTACAAAACCAGACAGCTGGCAGCATAAAAAAAGTCTCGGTCCAGAGTCCTTGGCTTTGAAGAGGGAGGAACAGGGACATGAGCCAAGGAATGTGGATGGCGGGCAGACGCTAGAAAAGGAAACGAGACAGATTTTCCCTGAGAGCTTCTGGAATAAATGCAGTCCTGCAGACTCATTTTAGATTTTTGACCTCTAGGACTATACCAGAATATATTTATTCATTTTAAGCCTAAGAGTGTGGCAGTTTGTTAGAGCAGCAATAGGAAAAGCATGCAAAAGTACTTTGAAATTAGTGGGAAGTGATATGTATATAAGATATTGTTATTCCAAGATAACACCTCTCTGTTGCCCTTGGTGTTAGATGCCTTGATTACTGGGAGTCTTCAGAGTTGTACTCTATCTCCTTGTCAAAGGCCTTGCCCTGCCCTTTCTTTCAGTGCCTGACCATTTTTGTTTTCAGCACTCATTTTGTTAAGCAGAGTTGATTAGCACATAATTAACAAACCAGCTCCAGCCACCTGCCTTTCTGGGTCCCTGGTTTCTGTTTAATTGTTCATTACCCTGCTCTTCCCAGAGAGACACTTAAGAAAACTATTTTTGGAGCTACAGTATTATAGCAAATTTACGTCGTTATTTCCTACACTGTTAATGAGCTATTCTTCACAAATACCCATGCAGGGGCTGGGACTGTTGCTCAGTGGTGGAGCACTTGCTTAGCATGAGCAAGGCCCTGTACCACATACCAACAAAAAGGGTATCATCTGCTAAAAGTAACAGTATCATAAACATTCCAAATACGGAGAGGTTTCATTTCAGCACTGGCCAGCAGTATACTCCACAGCTTCTATTTTCATGGGGTTTGGAAATAATGGGAAACTCTTATTTTTGTCACTCGAAAGAGAATTCCAAGTAAATTAAAATACTCCACAACAGGGTAGGGTGTAGTGTAGGAAGCTAGGCAGGGCTGTGAAGTACTGTGTTGCAAAAGTACACAAACTGAACGGAGCTGCAGGCCTGCCCCAGAAGTAATAAAAACTTGGAGTTGTGCTTCATTTGCTTTCCTTAAATTTCATTTTTTTAGGGATTAGTTTTTTGTTATGCAAAAGTTTAGGTCAATGATTTCTTGAAAAAACAAAGCGAAACCAGTTCTTTACCACACGCAGCTTGAGAAACTGTCAGTAGAAGAAAAGTGCCAGCTTCTATACACTGATGTACATTAGTTTTATAAAACAATACCTGAAATATTTATCACAACATATATTAAAACATATCCCAAGGCATTTATAAAGTAAGTTTAAGTTACTAGGATTTAATGTCGTTCTGGTTGCGTCTCCTAGGACTATGTCACCATCCTAGATCCAAGAGATCTATAGAAGAAAGGATGGAAAAACTTTACAGCTCAATTACATAACCACCTCTGCTGTATGTATTGCACCATTCTAAGTGATTTTTATACATGCTTCCTTCTTAGCTTTATATGAAAGTAAAAAAAGGAGTATACAAGTTCCAAAGCATGGGTTAATTATAAAGGCTTCAGTCTGAATATATAGAATAAAAAAGCACGACCTGATCTCTGATCGTTTGATGAAGTGAGTGACAAGACTACCATCCCAGATCCCTTACAAAGAGCCACAGCTGTGAACCCAAAAGAATAAACACAGGCACTCAAACAAATCCTTATGTGTGAGTGCCTGTAGCAACAATCTTCATACTAGCCAAAAGGTAGAACAATTCAAATGTCTGTCAACAGAGGAACAGATCTGGACTTAGTGCATTTTATTTATCATCACAATGGAATATTGTTTCGTCCCAAAGAAGAAAAAAGTATGAAAAAATTAGGCTAAGTGAAAGAAGCCAGATGAAAGGTCACATATTATATGATTTCATTTGTGTGTAATATTCGGAATAGGGGAATCCAGGCAAACAAAAAGCAGAGTGCTTGCTGCCCGTTGCTTGAGGATGGCAAAGCGGTGAGGAGTTACTGCTCACTGGGCACGGTGGAGTGCTGGTGTCACGGGGAACTACAGAGAGGTAATGACTTGCAAAGTATGGTGACTGTATTAAATGTTGCTGAATTACTCATTTTGAAATGGTTAATATTATGTCATCTAAGTCATTCTCAATTGAAAAAAGAACCATAGTTAATTGATGTGAGTTACCTTAGAATTGACTGCTTTCTCCTGTTGACTAACCAAAAACAAAAAGGTGCTTTTGCTATTCTCTGAAAAGTCATTCTGCTGAACATAGCAAACTATGCCAGGATTCATATGTGAGGAAGGTCCTTTTCTATTAAACAGTAAAGATGAAACTGGGAAAGGGGAGAACTTACAGAAATGATAGAACAGTGAGTGAAAGCAAAGAAAAAAAAGAACAGGGAAGAGCAAGCTAAAAGAACTGAAGGGAAGAAAAAAGCTGAATTGAGGATTAAGAACAAAATAATCATAGTCTAATTCAAAAAGCATTGTCACTAGTGATGGAGTATTTGCATAGTTAAGCAATTAGAAGGTGATAAAAGACACAACAAAGAAAAAGGTTTTGCACAAAGACAGATATGTTCTCAGTGTACCTACAAATTTATAAGACAAGAAAAACCACATCCCTTCTGCAAAAGTCAAACGTACAAACAAAAAGCCTCCCAAACCCTTCTTACACTGGAATTTACAGACTAAATTAAGAGCTATCCAATTACTCATCTTGGGACCCATATGCTTCTTCAGATGTCAACTGACCATGAACTATTTTTTCTTTTCGTAAACTATTTTTGAAGCACCACTTTGGAGTAGTCTTCAAACCTAGTTTTTTAAAAAGATTAATTTCATCACTTCACATTTATAACACATTTTCAACCCAAAACATGAGTTCAACTGCTTCTAAAAGAAGAGTAGTTTTTCCATTGTTGTGTATTATTAATAAATTAAATGAAAATTAATTACTCACATACTCCTTCACATTTTTTGTCTTCACCGTTTTGTATGAATAATATGCAGGATAAAGCATTCCAAACACCAGCCTAAAAGTAAAAAAAGTACAAGATTAATTAAGCATAACAATCCTTGTAACAGCTCAAGAAAATGTAACCTTTACAGAAAATCAGGACATGCATAATTTAAATTTGCGTGAATGCAAATTTGTGTATAAACAAATTAACCAGAAAAGCAGGTGAAAGTATATTTTCTTTTCATTAAAAAGAACATTTCAATATTTTAGAGAGCAGTTTCATGGAAATAAAAGATTTATTTTGAAAAAATTGACTTTTAAAACCTTTTTCTTCATCACAAAAAAAATTCCATCGTTCCTTGAAGAACCCTTGGAAAATGTAGAAAACACCAAAAAAGAAAGAGATAGAGAGAGAAAGAAAAAAACCAAAAACACCTCAACCCTACCAGTCAGGGGTAATGACACATGATATTTTATAGTACAAAAAGCCCACTCTTTACCCCATGTGCTATTCCTAAAACGTTACACACCGTACACATGAATATACACACACCATTTCTGTTAATGAAAACTTGTTCCTTCACACCACTAGACTGAGGAGCACTAGCTGTTACTTACAGTGATAAAGCTGTGAAATAAGACTCGATATATTAATTATAGCATGTATTAACATAATTCTCTAAGCATTTGCACAGCTACTTTAAATCACTAATAGGATTTAATTTAATGTCATTTCTTATGCTCACCAAATCCAAAATATACATATAAACATAAATGATAGGCACAGAACTGTCATGACAGTGCACAGGTCTTATGATCCTCATGTTGTATAAAATGGAATTTTTTGTTTTCAAATATTATTCAACTGCATTCTTTTCTTTTTTTTTTGTCTTTTTGAGACAGGGTCTCGCTATGCAGTTCACTATGCAGTTGAGCTCACTTTGTAGCCCAGGCTGGCCTCAAACTTGTAGCGCTCATTTTGCCTCAGCCTCCTGAGTGCTGGAGTTACAGGCTAGCGCCACCACACCCAGCAAACCATGTTATTCTTGATGCCTGCATTGCATTACAGTTTAGGATTCCATAATTCTGTATTTATAAGTTTTTGGTTAATACTAAGTTTTTTCTATTTATATAGCACTGTGAAAAACATTGACATTCACTTCATGATTGTGATACTACTGCCTCAAAGGTTACATTTTTACTTACTAACAAGTACCTTGCAGGAAGGTGTTCTGTTTTTCATTCTGTATGTTGCAAATCCTAGGTTAAATTTTAAAAACTGTCAATAAAGAGAAAAATCATAACCTTATAGTTTTAGTGTACATGTCTGAATACTGGAAAATCTGAACGTTTTTCAAGTGTTTACCAGCACTTTGTGGCACATCTTTTTGGTACCGGGAATCAAACTCACAACCTCAAGCTTGCCAGGCAGGCACTGGGCCACTGAGCTATATCCCTGGGCCCCAGAATATCTTTTTGCTTGTTGTTTTAAATGGCCTTTTTATTTTAGAAAGAATTGCATAGAAAAGTTGAGAAAATAGTAAAGGTAATTTCCACATACTCCATACCTAGCAATATCTTAGGTTGATACAGAACCTTTGTTAGTGATGTACTGTTTTGAGGTATACACTGTACTTTATTCAGTTTCCTTAGTTTTTACCTAGAATCTTTCCCCTCTCTTCCCCTGCCTTTTTCTTCTTTTCTTTCCTTGGTTCCAAGGTCTTATCCAGTACAGCACATCACATTTAGATGCATTCTGAGCTCTCCAGCTGTAAATTTTAGACTTTCCTTGTTTCTGATCACCTTGATAATTTTAAAGAGTACTTATCAATTACACTGTAGGATATTTCTCTGTTTTAATGTTTGTGTAGGTGTGTGTTCTCATGTCACACATTTTTTTTTTGTTTTGTTTTTTCTCTGGTACTGGGAATTGAACTCACGACCTTGTGCTTGCCAGGCAGGCGCTGAGCCACTGAGTTAAATCCCCAGCCCCTGTTTCAATGTTTGATGTTCTCATGATTAGAGGGAGGAATGGGTTTTTAAGGAGGACTGTAGAGGTCAACTACCTTATCACATTGTGTCAAGAGCACACATCACCAACATGACTCATCCCTAGAGATGTTAACCCTGATCACTATGCTGAAATAGTGTTTTGTCAGATTTTGCCACTGAAGAGTTATTCTTATTCTTCCACTTTCCAGATTTTATTCTTTGGAAGGAAGTCACTATGCATACCTTACATGCTTGAGTAGGGAATGCAGTTCTACTTCACTGAGAGTGGAATGTCTACCTAAATTACTTGGAATTCTTCTGCACAAGGAACTTGTCTATTCTTCCTCATTCAATGATCTATTTATATCAGTATGGACTCATAGATATTTATTTTATACTCTGGGTATAATCCAACACCACTTTATTTTATTGTTCAAAGATCTGGTCATTGGTGGATCTTTCTAATAGTTCCTGTGTCCGTTTGACATCTCTCTTATTGTGAAGTTTGGTGAGTGTGCATGTGCGTGTGTGTGTGTGCGCTGAGCACTTTCTGGCACTATTTGATGCTGTAGGCTCATCTTGTACATTTCCTACCCCATTCCTAGAATCAGTCACTTCCGAATTTCTCTTATTAAGGATGGTATTTGAAACCAAGACTTGGTGCTTCAACATCACAAGAAATCACCAACAGAGTAAAAAGAAAACCCACGAATTGGGAAAAAATTTTAGCCAACTGTCCCTCAGACAAAGGACTTCTATCTAGAACATATAAAGAATTAAAAAAAAAATCAGGCCCCCAAAATTCAAAGACCCAATCCAAAAATGGGCATCTGAGATGAATACACACTTCTCAGATAAAGAAATACAAATGGTGAATAAATACATGAAAAAATGGTCAACATCATTGGTCATTTGAGAAATGCAAATTAAAACAACACTGAGATTTCATCTCATCCCAGAAAGAATGGCTATCATCAAGAAATCAAATGCTGGAGGTGCTGTGGGGAAAAAGAAACCCTAATCCACTCCACTGCAGGTGGGAGTGTAGACTGGTACAACCACTGTGGAAATCAATCTGGGGATTGTCAATTACACTGTAGGATATTTCTCTGTTTTAATGTTTGTGTAGGTGTGTGTTCTCATGTCACACATTTTTGTTTTGTTTTGTTTTTTCTCTGGTACTGGGAATTGAACTCACGACCATGTTTACTGATAAGGGAATTGTTTACTGACACCTTGTTTACTGATACTGGAAACTGAACTCACGACCTTGTTTACTGATAAGGTAAACTAGGATTAGAGTAAATTTGATGCTGTAGGCTCATCTTGTACATTTTCTACCCCATTCCTAGAACTAGGATGGGGGTAAACTAGGATTAGAGTTCCCATTCAACCCAGCTATTCCCCTTCTGAGTATTTTTCCAGAAGAACTGAAAACATCATACTACAGCGATATATGTGCACCCATGTTTATAACAGTGCAATCTGTAATAGCTAAATCTTGGAAACAACCCAAATGCCCATCCACTGAGGAATGGATAAAAAAGATTTTTATACAATGGAGTACTATTCAGCTATAAAGAAAGATAAACTTGAGGCTTTTATAGGTAAATGGATGCAACTAGAGACTAAACTCATAAATGAAATAAATCAGACCCACATGTGTAAACATTGTATTTTGTCCCTAGTGTAAGACCCTGAAAGAGGGCTGGGGATTTAGCTTAGCAGCACAGCGCCTGCCTGGCAAAGGCAAGGTTGTAAGTTCGATTCCTGGTATTGGAAAAAGAACAAAAAAACCCCAAAAAACCAAAAACAACAACAACAACAAAAAACCAAAGACCCTGAAAGAGTAAATAAAACTGGAAAGGTACAATAGATATTGTGAAAGGGAAAGACACTGCTAGGGAAAGGAGAAAAGAAAGGAGGAGAAAAATTTTATATATATGTTTGTATATATATATGTACACATATATATGTATATATATACATATATGTATATATATAAAAGGATAATTGTACTACTAATTTCTATTGATTTATTATAAGGAATAGTTAATGCTTAATTTTTTTGGCCAATTTTACATGCTTATATCTGGTAATCTGAACGATTACTTTGAAGATAACAATATGCAATGTAACAACCATTATTGCTTTCCTATCAAAAAAAAAATCTGGTGCTTTAAGTATGCTCAGTGTTACTGGCAAGCTGTTGATTTCTAGGTCCTTCTTTGTCCACATGAACCAGTAGTTTTGTACGTTCCTATTACCTTTTCATTGTGCTTATGAATTTGCCATTGTGTTTATGAATTTGCTATTAGGTTAGTTTGCTAGAGTTACTATAACAAAATGCTATCTACTGTACTGGGTGTCTTAAATGACAGAAATTTGTTTCGTCACAGTTCAGGAGCCAGAAAGCCCAAGCTCAAAATGCCAGAAGGTTTTGCTTCTTCTGAGGCCTTCTAGTTATGTCCTCAGAGTCAACCCTAGTCTGTGTGTGTCCCCTAATCTCCTGTTCTTACAAGGCTACCAATTATACTGGATTAAGTCACATCCCAAAAACCTCATTTAACTTAGTCATCTCTTTAAACACTGTACGTCCAAAACACACATTCCGAGGTACAGGAGGTTAGAACCATAACATTTTAACCGTAACATCGGAATTTGAACAGATATATATGAAATTTGAATAAGTGATTGTACTTATATGTCTTTCTTACACTGAGTATTTGCATCTTTTTCTATTTTTATTTCATTATTAATTTTTCGTAGGGGCAGGGAAGAGGGCAGCAGATTTCTGGCGCCTTCCTTATCCTTTGTTCTGTGGCTTTTATGACCCCGGGTGAGGGGAGGAAGCCTGAGTACTCTCTTGCTCAGGATTTTATGCTTACAAGTAGAACCCTTATCACTAACTACATCTGCTTTACCCACCAACGCTGCCTGTGAACACCTCTTCAGCAGAAGTACCAACTCATAGTGAACCTTCTAAGAAAACAACTAACCAAGATGTAAATAAGAACATAATTTTCAGGTCTGTTGTATGTTCATACTCACTGTTGACATGAGGCATAATCCTATAAAACAGTCCTCATAGTTAAAAGTTTACATATTCAAGTGAAAAATTTTGATCTATTTTGTACTTCTCTTTAGAACTTGGACATAATCAAGGTATTATCTTCTACTTAATCTAGTGCCACCAGATTTAGGTTCACCGTGAGCGTGACTCTTCGTTTCTGTCACTGGATGGATCTTTATCTTTTCCTTTCCCTGGTACAGCACTCATCCATTCTCTGAGTCCTGCTGCTACTTTTTTGATCATAGAGTACATATATTTATCCTATTTTATTTTCAGTCTTGTAGCCAATGATACATTTGGGCTCATGCCATCTCATCTGACACACCGGACTGTTTCCAACATATTTCTCCGTGTCTACTGTTGGTTCAGTCTTTTTAGTATACCTGCAGTACGGCCTTGCCTACAATTTCAGTAGCTCACTCTTTTACCTGCCAGCCCATGTAGGGATTCATTAGAACATAAATTGAAAGTCACTGACTTATATTAACTGTTTCACCATGGTTTTCTTATTAAGCCTTTTGTATTTCTACTTTAATTCTGAAGCGTATGCTTTTTGAATAGAATATATCTGTCTTAGTTACTTTTCTTTTTTAGGGGGAATTAGGAATCCAATTCAGGACTTCCTGCTTGCCAGGCAGGTGCTGAACTCCTGAGCTAAATACACGGCCCTGTCTTAGTAACTTCCTTGTTGCTAGGACAAAACACTTGATACTTACAAGGTAAAGGAGGAAAAGTTTATTTTATTTTATTTATCTATTGTTTTTTTGGTACAAGGAATGAACTCAGGGTCTTGGCGCTTGCCAGGCAGGCGCTGTGCCACTGAGCTACCTCCCCAGCCGAAGGTATACTTTAGCTCATGGTTTGTAAAGGTTTTAGTCCATAGTTGGCTGGCTCCAAGAAAGGAGGGCATGGCAGAGAAGAAACAGTCCCTGGCAGGGCAGGCAAGAAGGCGTGAGCCTGCCTTCCTCTGTCCCTTTATATTGATCCAGAATACAAGGCCAGCCACACTAGAACTATGCTAATTTAGCTAGAGGACTAATCCAGATAATTATACACCCTTAATCCATATTCGCACACCCCTGATACAGCCACCTCCCAAAAGCTCCAGTCTATGAGCACAAGAGGCTTTGGGGGTGACATCTAAATACAAGCCACAACAACATCTTTTCCTTCTTTCTCTTTCCTTTTTTATTCTAGCATCACACACTTCTCCCCAAGATCCAGTCCTCCTGTATAAAATATAAATTACTTTCATTTTAAATTTTGGAAGTATTTCTCAAGTTTAGTCACTTTGAATTTAGTATATTTTTATTTTTACTTTAGATCGCTTAATGTATTTTTTAGTATATAAGTGGCTTTCAAACAGAAAATTTTCTTGACTATAGTAAGGATTTGGTGTTAGTTGATACTGCACATATATGTGTTTTGCTCTTATTTTCTAATCTCTACATCATATAAGTAGAATGGGAGTGAGTCAAACAGATTATCCCTAATTCCTCTCTCTTGTAAGAACAGAAAACAATAAGATATCCCATTTAGAACATGAGAAACATTAAATGTCTTAATCAAAAGGGGTACAAACCTAAGGACTGCCATCATTAATACTATAATTCATTACTTCTATAATGTGACCCTTACTGGGTAATTCATTACTAACATTTGTGGTATTTTCTCTAGTCTTTAAAAATTTTTTTGGTTTATTTTCTTTAACAGTGGGGTCTACTTCAGATGTTTGCAGCCTGGGAGGTCAGGCATAAAGCTAAAACATAAGCACAGTGTATAAAATAAAATAAAATAAAATAAAATAAAATAGAATATATTTGAGGCCACCTACAAGATAGTCAGGGTTTATAAAGAAAATATTTGCTACAAATAAAATTTACCTATAAACTTGAATTTTTTTTCAGTCATAGAGGTAGGAAAAAATAGTTATGCATTTCCTCTTCATTTTATTTCTGTCTAAAGATGGAGAATGTTGCCAAAATACTCAAGATACCCCCAGCGCCTAAAGTAAGTTTCCCTTTTGAAATGTATGCATGCTGGCTATGTTGAAAAATCTATACTGTTTTAAAAATGGGGAAAAAAAGTCACTTAAAGAGCATGCTGGGCGACAGTCCTTGTATCAGTTTTAGTATACAGAAAATACTTAAATAGCTATTTCCTAGACAGATGTTCTGGATCCATCCATTCTACATCAAAATTGTTTTGTGGAAGTTTAGGACGTTTAAAGTGCTCTCAAAGCCAGCTGTGGTGGCGCATGCCTATAATCCCAGCACTCAGTAGGCTGAGGCAGGAGCATCGTCGCAAGTTGGAGACAAACCTGGGCTACAAAGTGAGCTCAAGGCCAGCCTGAACTGTATAGTGAGACCCTGTCTCGAACTCGCAACAATCCTCCTGCCTCAGCCTCCTGAGTGCTGGGATTACAGGCGTGTGACAGCAATATACTTACATTTACTTTAACAAATTATGATTCAAATATCTTTACAGTTTTAGAGACCTTGTAATGTAGATGTTTGGGGGAAAAGTAGTTCCAAGATTAAGTGTTACAGTGCTTTTTAAAATTGCTGATAACATCACACATTAATATGTAATATGACCACACTTGTACAGGAATTACTCGGCAAATTCTATTTACTTCACTATTTGGCAGTCATGCTCCCAAACAGAACAATTGTAATTGCTGCATTCTATTAGATTAAAGGACAAAAAGACAACCCAGTGAGGCCAGAGATTAACTAAAATGGGAGAAATTATAGTAAAAAACTAGATCACAAATTAGAATAATGGAAGATATACCATGTTTCTTAGGATGAGTAAGTCACAACATATACAGCATATACATGCTCAAAAAGCAACAGCAACCGTAACATTCTAGGTTTTTAAAAATATATATAAACTCCATTTGCAATCCAATTTACACTAGAGTTGCCCGAGAGCAGTGAAATTGACTGAAGCTACCCTGGAGTAGGGAGGACAACCAGGCAGAAATTTCTCTGCTTGGCTCCATTCCTGCGATCAAGCCACAGCCTGCTAGTTACTCTCTTCATTCAAATTCTGCTCACGCTGGTCTCAGAACCCTTGTCAGCAGGGCACCATATCCTCATACCACCAAAGGACAGCAGCTAAGCAGACTCATCTGTCATCTTTTGCCATCCCAGTTCTAAACATTTCATTCTCCACACAGTATATCCTAGCTTTGAATCAGGGATGATCCCCAGGAAGCTGCTGTACGTTATCCATAAGTACTGGAGCAGCAGTGTTAAGGGCAGTGTCTATCATAGTGAGTGTATTTACATTTTTCTTTGCTCTTGAAAGTCTGTGCAGCTATTGTAATTGTATGAGGGAAACATCAAGTGTGCTGTATACATCTCTTCCTGGTTCCACATTTAGTGAGGTCACACTGGTAGCTTGAAGTAGGTTATTGTAGTGGGTATTTTACGTCATAGAATTATCTAATGATATGAATCAGTCCTCTCTGCCCCAGTTGTTAAGCATTACCAGCACACCACTGACAGTATGTGTTTTAGCCAAGGGAAACACTACAGCACCCTTCTATCCAGACAATAGAACATATATAGTATGATCTGCAGGGGGAACCAAGAGAATTCGTAAATTTTTTTTTTATTTTTTTATTGTTTTTTTTTTTAGTGAAATTTTTAAAAAGGCATCTATCATGATAACCAAGCTTAGACATATTTTATGCAACATTAAGAAGAAAGGGCAACATTCTGTTTTAAATCATAGTTACTCAAATTCTGTTTGAACATCAGTCCTCTCATATGAATAGACCATACTACATTTTTCAAATAGAATTATAATATTCACAAGAAACCCTAGAAACGGGCTATTTTGTAACAGCAGTTTTCTGACTTTTTTCAAAGTATTTTCCCTCCAGAGGAAGGTGTCTTAGGGATCTTATAAATAAAAAACAATGAATGCAGTTAACATGTGCTGAGATCATTTGATTTCACTGATTGTAGTGTCCTCTGAGAATCCTAACCCTTGAGAACAACTTGGAAAGCACCCCCTCTAAATGTTTTAGTAATTCCCAAATTTGTCTGTATGTAAAAATCAACTTGGCACAAGAATCTTGGAAAGTAGGTCTATATTATGTATAATTCTAAATTATACATCTTCAACAAAGGGGTGATAATACTATGCTTACTTTGATTTGGATTAAGCAGATTATGATTAAGCAATATGCTATCAGTATAATAAACTGATTTCAGTCTAATTGGAGTTTTTTTTGGGGGGGGTACAGGGTCTCACTCTGTAGTTCAGGCTGGCCTTGAACTTACCATGAAGCCCATGATGGCCTCAAACCCTCTTGTCTCAGCCTTCCAAGTGCTGGGATTACAGGCGTGTGCCACATGCCTGGCTCTAACTGGATTTTTTAAAATAATATGACAGTCACTTTAGAGATCATAATAAATGAAAAGAGAGTTACAGAAACTAATCCAATTAAAAACGTTTGCAAATAATCTATTTGTACTCACTTACAATCAAATCATTACCAGTGGTTAAAGGTCCAGTGATAAAGCCTGTTTTGATAAACTTCTTGGGTGTGTCACCCTGCCATTGTTTAAGCAGCCAACCAGGTGCAAAATTTCATGCATGATCCGTGCCAAAACAATGTTTAACTTTTGTCTCACACACATTTTAAGAATGCTGTATAAGAATCGCTGCTAAGAATCTCTTCTAGTAGAGAATTCCCATTTAGTAAAATAATGGTTAAGTGGCTATAACCTGAAGGAAAAATATGAAAATTACACAGAGCAAGAAAAGGTCAAACCCCTGGGGAAAACCCCAAATCCTGAATCCTAGAGCCAAAGGTACACGTTTCAAACTGCCAAGGAGGGAAAAAAGTAAACACTCTTTTGAAAGACTTTATACATGGTTTTAATAATAGTCATCAGAAGCTATAAAGCTTGGAATTTCCATGTTGCCAGAGCTAAACTTCTAATTTTACTCTACAACTTTTAATTTCTACTCTAAAAGGAAAGCTAAAGATAAAACTGGCAGAAAAAAAGAAAACCACAGCAAATCAAGACTCCTACTTCCTCATCCTCTAGCTGTTTCCCCTTAGCCACACCCTTACTGCCACCACAATGACCTACAACTGGTATGTGGTACACCCCAACCAAAGAAAAAATTTTAGGAAAAATGCTGATCTCGTACAGAATACATGACAGAACCAATGGCTGCAAACCCTTAATGCATGCACGTCATTCAGCATTCTGTGGGTAGAGTTTTGCAGCGTGGCTCACAGATTTGAAAGCAGACAACTGCACAAGCAGCAGCGTTCCAGTTTACCAGCTGCAATTCGCCTTCTGATTGTCACGACAAATAAGAAATCCATAAGAGGGGGGCTGGGGATTTAGCTCAGCGGCAAAAGCGCCTGCCTGGCAAGCGCAAGGTCGTGAGTTCGGTTCCCGGTACGGAGAAAAACCAAAAAAAAAAAAAGAAATCCATAAGAGGGATAGTTTTTATTATTCTATTACTACAAATGATAGAAGGCTCAGGGAGATGAAGCATAGTATAAACGACGTGCCCAGTAGGCGCTGAAGCCAAAACATAACATAAAACTTCTAACCTTTGTTCTTCTACATCAAAAATAAAACTAAATCTGCTTCTAGCAGATTCCTAATATTGTTAGTTAAAGGAAGTCAGCATTCAGAACTTAATATGTGGTAATATCAAACATAAAAAGAGACCCTAGGCCCATTTTTGTGTGTACCAAATGTGAACAAAGGAATATCCGTATCTTTAATTCATCACATTCTTCATTCTTATCAATTTGGTTAAGGCAGATATATGTGAAGGGGTTAAGAATTACTCATATCGGGGCTGGGGATTTAGCTCAGCGGCAAAGCGCCTGCCTGGCAAGCGCAAGGTCGTGAGTTCGGTTCCCAGTACCGGAGAAAAACCAAAAAAAAAAAACAAAACAAAACAAACAAACAAAAAAAACAACAACAACAACAAAAAAAGAATTACTCATATCAAAAAGCAAACAAACAGAAAACAAAACAAAACAAATTACTCATATCATCTGACTGCTGAGTAACTCTTCACTTGGAGGAACTGTTTGCTTTATTTAGGGACTTAAGCACAGGATTTGTGGAACTCAAACTTACTATTAGCCCCACAGACTTAAAGATAAGTTGAGAGTTCAGTTGTAATTTAAGGTTTTTTTGTTTTTGTTTTTTTTGTTTTTTTTTTTAAACAGCTTTTGGTGAAGGAAAATCACACACAAACTAAATTTGAAAACCCTGAGAGTATTTCCTTTCCTAAAAATACATCCCTGTACGCAAATAAAAAGATGAGTAAGTAAAGCCACAAAGGGCGATCTGTCCTATTCCGTGCAGTTCTTTTGGTACTCCATGGTCAGGAAGTGAACTTTCCCGAATTGAACTTGTTCTAAAATTTCTGCCAACTCTTGTATAAAACATTCATATCTGCTATGTAATCTAAGCGTCACCTCACGAGTGGGCAAGATAACCCTACACTAGGTGCCACCAACCTGAAGTGAACTTGTATGTTGCTCTCACAGAATCTTTAATTCTTTTCCATTAAACAAAAACAGATGTTACTAAAAAAAAAAAACAACAGATGTTACTGACGCTACAAGCCACTGCTTTTCATTACATGCTCTACAACTGAGCTATACCCACTGACTTGTTTTTTAATTAGAATGAAATTTGTGATGATTCAGAAATCAAAGCATTCTATTTTCATGTTTTTTAAACCACTTCCTCCATTTCATTTATTCAAATTATTATAGTGCCTCTAGTATCTCTAACTCAGTAATTTTTTCCCATGCCACTCCCTGGAGCTAGAACAATCTCTCTCTTCATGGAGAGCGCTTGTTTTTTCCTAGGCACCCTGCATGTAACTGTTTTTTATTTGTGAGGATGAAAGGTTCCATAGTTTTATTTTGTAGGGGAAAAAGATCCAAACCAAAGAACAAAAACAGAAATGATGATACTCAAATAATAACCAGAATATAAAAAAACATTGTAAAACATTTAAGAATATTCTCTATGTTTTGAGATGTTCACCTGACAGAAAGAACATCTAAGTACTTTCTTAGTACACAAAAATCAGAGAGGTAGAAACTTTCTATCTTGGACAACTGAGTAGAAAAAGAAAACAAATGTATCACCAGAACTACATGACCACTGAATTTAATTCTGACATCAGTCATCACAACACAAAACCAGCACGCTGGCTGGTTGGCACTACCAAGCCCTCTGCCTCTTAGGAAATATTGCCCATTGTTTCATGAAAGGCGGTTTTGTCACTTTGAGAAATAGCCTAGCCTCCACCATTCCTGACTTGGCTACTTTTATTGCTCCCTAAAACAAACATATAAGTGACTAAATAAAGGGCAGTAGATTACTGACTGAAAAGCATTAAAATTCTCCTCTTGAGGGCTGTTCTGCTGTAGGGAGACTGAAGAGAATTGGCAAGTACATGCAATGTTCCTCGACTGGGTTCAACGTCTAAAAAACAGTGCAGGTACACAGTGTATTATTATAGCAACTTGGGCTGTACTTTAGGTGTTAACCGTTTTTCAGTGTTAAAAGGTGTTTTTTCAAGGTGTGCTTATGTAAGAGAATGCTTTGTTTAGGAGACATAGTAATTAAGAATAAAATGTCACACTGTGTATAAATTTCTTTTTTAAAACAACTTTTTAGTTTAAGAAAAGTTTTCAATTTACATAAAAGATATAGAGCCAGTACAGACAAGGAACTCCTGTATCCTCAATACCTAGTTTTCTTTATTTCACTTGGTATAGAACATTTGCCACAGGGGGCTGGGGATTTAGCTCAGCGGCAAAAGCGCCTGCCTGGCAAGTGCAAGGTCGTGAGTTCGGTTCCCGGTACCAGAGAAAAACCAAAACCAAAAAAAAAAAAAAAAAAAGAACATTTGCCACAGTTAGTAAATCAATAACAACATATTACTATTTATTAAAGCTCAGATTTTATTCAGTCTTGTTTGTTTTCCACATAATGTCTAGTTTCTACTGCAGAGTCCTGGGTGGGATTCTATCCACTTGCTATATTATTGTTAATCATCCATTTGCTATATTACTGTTAATCATCATGTTTCTGCCGGGCGTAGTGGCGCACACCTGTAATTCCAGCCCTTGGGAGGCTGAGGCAGGAGGATTGTTGCTAGGTCAAGACCAGCCTGGGCTACAAAGGGAGCTTAAGGGCAGCCTGAACTGCATAGCCAGACCCTGTCTCAAAAGGACAAAAAAAAAAAGAAAAAAAAAAATCATCATGCTTCCCCAGGCTCTTCAGAAAGTTTCTCAGGCCTTTCTTAGTTTTGATAACCTTGACAGTTTTGAAGAGCTGCTAATTTTTTTTTTAAAGAATGTCTCTCAATTAGGACTTTTCTGATGTTTCTCTCCTGGTTATACTCAAAACATCGACTACTGGAAGGAATACTAGGATAGAAAAAAATGACGCCCAGCCCTTTTCCCTCTGCCAACCAGAAAGGGTGTGATCTCAGACAGCTGGCAGGCCTGCCCCTCCCTGTCCTGAGGTTGACCCGGGGCGACCAGTCTCCCTGTCTTCCCATCAGCCACCTTGGGGCTGCTTCTGCGGCTGGCCTGGGCGGGCGGCTGCCCTCTGGCCACGCCTGCTCCTGCACTTCGGATAGGAGCCATGGCTTGGCTGATGCAGCAGTGCAGGAGCACACCCGACAGGGCAAAGATCAGGGCTGGATGGGGCCTGGTGCTGACATTCCTGAAATCGAGGACTCCAGCGGGCCACGATCCACACAGCTGCCCTTCATGGAAACTTCTTTAAAACAGCAGCGTTCTGGGTTGGAGACCCACCATTTTCACGGAAACCTGGGAGCTGTTGATTGAGCAGCAGCTTCTACCTCAAGTGAAGCTGCTGAACTGTCACATGAGAGCCGAGGCTGTCTCGCACACCCCAGGCAGCACCAGGAGATCATTGTCTTGGCTGTGGCAGGCCTCAGACAGAGCGTATCCCAGATGACTTCATCCTGCAGCTACTGCAGGACTCCCTCCCCCTCCGACTTTGAAAATCCCCAAATAGATCCTCAAAAGGCAGGAAACTGCACAGGTGGCCCACTTCTCTTCTAAATAAGCAGTATTCTCTCACCCCTCCAGTCAGTCCAGCAGTGGTTTCTCCGGTATATTACCCTCTTGTGCTGCAGTGCAGATCCCAATAAAAGCCTCCCTCAAATGCTCCTATTCCTACTCATGGTTCTTATTCCAGGTAGAGTGGGATTTGCATGCTGCTTTAAGAAAGGGCTGGTAGCAGTCAAGGCTATTAATACTAAGCGCAGCTGGGACTGGGAAGGTAAGAGGTGTGCAGAGGAGATGCTCAGTGACCCACAAAGCCCTGCAAT